GGGGGGGGGGGGAGTGTTTTTTAGCTATAAACTGGAGGATGGTTTTCATGATTGGTAGTACATGGATTGTCGAAGAGGGGAATGGGTTTTATTAAGAGCTTGTAAAAGCGGACTTGCGGTAGCACAATAATTGGTAGTTCTTTAGATAACGTCTAGCGCCGTCTGGCGGAGGTTGAAGTAATTAAAACGTTAGAATGATGCAAAGCAAGAATGGACTCATTATTGAGAATTTTTTTATTTTTATTTTAATTGAACGCTGTTTCAGTCGCTTCCAGGTGGGAATAAAGTCCTTTATTTTGTTTGCCTAACAATCAGCTAACTCTATTAACTCCGCATATCTATTATTTTGCACCATTTCAAAATATGTAACTTGGTCAAGTACGCTCGTGTTACGTTTCATATACCGAAGACAAAAGTGTCCCCAACCTAAAAAAAACTTACGACCAATCGGCGACATCCAACTATTACGGAACGTGTTACGATTTATCCACTGGTTACAAGACTCATCCACCCAATTACTGTCTAGTCCTTTGTTCCCCTTTAAAATTGTTATTGCCTTTTTGCGTTCAACCGACTTTGCAACCATCCAAATTGCTGTTTCGGTATTGCCTAACGAGTAATAAGGATTTATTTTTTTTTTTCAACGAAATATTTACAAAATTCACCGTTTACGAGATTCACGCAAAACATGAAAAATTGTTGTGTCACGCTTTTGGTCAGATAAAAAGAAAAACATTTTTCACGTCATTTTTTAGGGGCAAAAAAATTCGTTAACCCTGACGTGGCAACTCCTGGCGAACGTGGTACTGCCACTCCGTGACATCGCCGAAAGCATTTTATTTTCGATTCAGTCGCTTTATACAAGGGGGTCAAGGGTCAACACACGTCTATCCCTTATCGATCGACTCTACGTCTTATTTTCCAGTAGAGGTTCTCTGGGGTCCTACTATTATTATTATTATTGTTCTTGTTGTTCAGGCTCCTCTCTTTGTACAGGATTCGTTATGTACAGGGTGTCTCTCGCATTGAATTGTCAATATCGTAACTGTATGCACAGTTTTAATAATTTTGAGATCTCCGCCCTCTCCGAATACACTGTACTCTCGCAAAGAGCCATCTTCGCATTAGTTTTCGTGAAAATGAGTCACTTGTATCTTATTCGTTCTTCCGCCATATACGGGGTGTACAAATAAAAAAACTACCTCCTCTTTACGTAAGGCCACAGTCGATTGAATACAATCTAGACAAAAATGCATAATGAAATATCATCCGTCACAACTTGGAGTATTTGCGGGTGGGGGGTGCATTTTGACATAATCTACGCCTAATTTCACAAACTGCATTACGGGGATGCATTTAATTTTGGTATAAATATTTTTTCGATTTCAATGCTTCGAGAAGTACGTCCTTTGGTTTTTCGTATCTACGTACTTGCACCAATATCAGTGCCCGTTTCACGTGTCACACTTGAACTCTTCTGCGAAGAGGATCAAGAGAAAGAGAAAGAAGAAGAATAAAAGAATTAAAATTCATTCCTTACTCGGAACACTGATAAGCATTACCTATTGACCTTCTTGAGAATATTTTACGTCACACCATATACAGGAACTATGACAGGATATTTATTGATTTTCATTAATACAAAAATTAGTCTCTTTCAAAGGGGTGGTTATTTTTTTTTTTTTAATTTTTAAACTTCACGCCAAAAGCAAGTTTCCTCTTGTTCAATTGTTCCTGAAGGTATCAAGGAAGGTCTGTGAGTTTCCTGCAACTGAACCTAACCTCACTTTATCCACGTCAACAGATTGACGAGATCCAGTTCTGTCAAGTGGGTCGTAGGATTTTAACCTAAACCTAATCCAAAATCCCTGACACTCGACCGTAATTCCAGTATATTTGTGTGCGTGTTTGTATACATATATAGTTACATAAAATTTTTAACCTCTCCGTTCGCCTATAAACCAATGACGCACTCTTAGGTAATAGGTTGTCGACCAGCATCCGCACCCTCCAGCCCACGAGTTCTCCCACCCATTCACCATACCTCCCACGGATCCATTTCTGCATAGTTGCTGCTCAAGCGTTTTCAGTTTCTGATAAAAATGATTTTTGAATTTTTATTTAATAAAAATATTTTTTGTCTCTCACACTCACCCTTAACAGCTGCGTGTACCTCGTGTACGCCAACGACTATTTCTAGCACTTTCTACGGTTTTAGCCCCCATTATCATTATTATGTTCCATGGAAAATTAGATACCCGTGTAATCTGGCGCTATCGTGCGTGTTCACTGTACTTTTTGCTGCAATGTCCCTTGTCAACCCCCACCCCGCCCACCACCCACTCTCTTTACCCTTAGCCACCGGCTTTTCGTGCCTTGAGTATTATGCCTGGCGTTTCTGTCTGCTGTTGTGTTCCTATGCCATCTAAATAGCATGGTACAACACGCACGTGTTCCAATGAAGCGCATGACACGTCACGCGTCACGTGTCACGCGTCACGAGGGCACAAGGGACAGTGCGTAAGGGTTGCACGTATCGCCGCCCCGTTCAGTCGTTGAATAATTTTTGTCTCTCAATTACGTTCCTTTATTAATTTTTGTTTTTCCTTCAAACTTGCGTTTAGTAAAAAATTGAACTTTGAAATAATTATCCTCGGATCTTCGTGAACCCTTGCTTCTACGTCATTATCCCTAATTAACGTTAGCGTCGCGTGTTTTGACGTTTACGAAGAATTTCATCGGGTAAATAATTTCTTATTGATTTTGTATTCCTTATTCCCTCAGTCCCCGTTATTCCTCCCCCTCGCCTCTCACGCGCGCCCTCTTCTTCGACGCAGTAGAGTCACTTGACTAACCAAGTCTATAATTGTTTTGTATATTTGCGAATACGCCACTACGAACGATGGTCTTTGTTGTCATTTGCGTTATAATTGTAACTAATTACGTATTTGTACGTGTCATTTTTTTTTTCCTCACGACTGATTACAATGGAAATCAATCGATTAGTCCCTTTGACGCTTTGCTAATGTTATATCGTTACTTGGCGTAGTCGCGAAATAATCGCGAGAATTTTGGCTTTTGTTACTTGGGTTTTGTATGCTTCTTTTTTGTTTTTCTTTTTCGCCTTTGTCCGTTATACCCAGGTATCTCGCTAATTTGAAATTTGCATGCGGCACGCGCTCTGATGGCGCTCGCCCGGATATTAAGATAGTGCAACCGATACGCTCTTAGATTGTCGCTCGCTATCGTACAGTTTTTTTGTTCCTGTAGTTGGTAGTAATGGCTGTTGATCGTGACTGGTTGTGGGAGAATATTTTTTTGGAATTTTCAAAATCTTATCCTTTACGATTTTATAATTATAAGCAGCCAACCCGGTCGATGTACTTGACTGGTTACGGTTAAATTTTATTTCAGTCACCCGGTACGTATACGCTGCCCGTTAACGTAATACGTACACGCGACATGCGCTCACGCAAGGGGTTAGTGATATTAAAAGAGAAGTATATATCGAGGAATAAAGCCTCCCCGAATCCTTTGTTATATTATCATTGGCACGAATGTTGTTTCCTGTGCTCTGCAAAGTGTTTGTTCGTAGCTGTTGCGCGGGCGCGTTTAAGACGTTGCTCGAATTTCCTCTAGATTAGCTTTTTCTCGAGAACTCTAAGAAACTCTGAGTAGTCGACGAAGAGAATATATTATAATATTGTATTTTAAAAAATGTATAGATCAAACTGAACTTTTTGGGTCTATTTGCACAAGGCTCAATGAGTAAGAGATCGACCGAGTCGTGAATTCATGAAAAACTTTAGTACGCGTTTTCTCCCGCTAGATGTCACTGGCGTCTCGCTTACCCGATGAAGCTAGGTTAGGTTAGGGACACTGGGTTTCCCACGTTTCCTGGAAAAAAAAATGCTTTATCGTTTCCATTTGGACACGCGAGGTCACTCAGCGGGCATTAGGGGGGCGGGGAGGGATATGGAAATGTCGATGGTAACCCGAAGGGCTGTGTCCTCCTCCTCTTTGCGTTCCTCCTTCTGTGGGTATCCCAACCTAACCTCCACCTACGACATGTGTTGCTAAGGGGACTTTGCCTCGACAGCACGCAAGCCGAACAGGTGCTCCAAACCACCAGGTAACGGACGATTTACAACAGCTGCCACGCCAGGTGTACAAACCGGCAGTGAAGAGATGCGGCGAACCTTAAATTTTTAAGCAGCCATTTTTGTTATCCCTTGTAATATCCCTACCATCTTTCGTATCGTAGCCATCTTCTAGGTTTTTTTTTTCTTCTATAGAATATATAATATGTAAAAAGTAATAATAGGCTTCTTGAGTTTTCGTTGTTAAACAAAAATTACCATTTTTTCCCCTATCTATGTACGCAAGTACACTATACTTTTTTACGTGATAGTATCGTCTCGTCTTTTTGGATAGACGAGGAAACTTTGTTTTGTCTAGAAAAATTCTTTTTTTATCTTTCAAATTGTTCGTTACTATCGATAGATGTATAGTCTTTTCATGTGTCTCTGTTGTAAAAATGTAACGATCTACATATATCCCGTATGCGGTAACTCTATAGCACGGTTGTCTTTCATAGTCGAAAATACTCAGGTACTGTAGTATGGGGCTTGAATTTTATGACGAAGTCGTAATAAAAGAAATTTCAAATTACCGTGCAAAGTGATGTGGAAACGATAACCCTCATCCCCCCCCCTCCCGTTCCTTGTTGTATCTACCGCAGGGAGGAATTGTTTGTCGAAGTTGCCAGGTACGGGGAGTTGAGGTTCAGTATCGTCGGACATGGTGGAGCATAAGGGGACGAACGCCCGGGGCCCTCAGGCTGTAAGTCAAAAGTGCCGCCGCGTCACGAAGACTCACGATCGGCGGCGAGAATTCTCGAAGTCCTCTCAGTCTCGTGCCGGACGTCACGGTGCGAGGTAGGGTTTTTTCTTCATTGGCACCGGGTTAGTGCATACGAAATTTTTCGTGATACAGTGACTTATTTTATTTTTTTAACATCCTCTACACCGAACTATTTTCTTTTTTATTTATAAAAAAATACACGACGCGTTAGATAATTCAAGCAGTGAACGTCAACGTTTTTTTACGACTCTTCGTAATCTCGTGCAATCCTTTTTGTGTTTGAATTTCGTACTTTTCATTTTCCTAGTCGATTGAAATACAACGGAGTGCGCTAGTATTCATGAAACTGCTCCTTGTACCGTTACTCTGTCCGTTTGCATTAATAAGGATTTTGACAATATCTTCGAATGTTTTGACTACGTCAAACAGTGGACGTCTGAGAGGTGAGTTGAACAATAAGACTATTGCTGCATAAGAAAGCAGCAGCAAAGCAATTGCTATGTTTGAATATAGCCATAGTAGTGGTAGATGGGTCTAAATTGCAATTAAAACTATTTTTCAAAAATATATCTTCGTTCCTCTTTCTCCATTTTTTATTCTTTTTTACACTCGTGGGTGGATTCACTTATTCTGCGGAAATTGTTTTTTCTAATATTGCTCTAGCCTCCTGTTCTTTCATCACGTCCGTGTTCCCACCCTTCCGGTACGGCGGAAGTCCTAGGATATGTATTATATATCTATTCGAAGCGTGGTAGTAATTATTGGTGGTAAAAACGGGCATCGAAAATCAGTCGTCAAAAGGGTGAAATTGTAGGATAATATCTATCTAGCTTTGTCTACCTGTCTACCCAATCACGCTGCTGAGTGAAATATCTCCGAAGGGAATGTAAAAAAATAGAGGGTGTAAGGACAACTGGATAAACTAGAGAATATTTTAAACTTAAACTATTTATTCTAGTAGCGGAACTCAGTGGGCGATTGGAGTATATATACGGACGGACGACTATACCTCCTTTTAGGGAATATTTACGAGCCTGATCAATGTTTGGGGAGGGCATATAAGATACGAAAGATTGCTCTCATGTAATATACTTTTGTAACAGAAATACTTATTAACGATAGAGGCAAGAAGCATGAAAAAGTTAAGAGATGGGAAAAGGCAGTTACAAAACGCGTAAACTCTGTCGGTAAAGCAGATTCCTTCGGGTATACCCATTTCACTCGGTAATAGAAGCAAGTTACCTCTATTTCTATTTAAAGGTTAAAAACTGTTATGCCATCTCCACAAAAAAATAATTTAAACATTTCAAAGGTGCAACTTAAATTTGATGCGGATTATTGATTGTTCCTCTTACTGCGAGAAAATTCTGTTTGAATATCTGACATTCGATAATAACGGCCATTTTGGCAGCACCGTCGCGCATGGCTACCTGTTCCATGCCGAAGACGCGTCCCTGGAGGGACTCTTGTGGAGAAACTATTTATTGAAAAGCTTTTAGCAATATTGGTTTACCCCTCGCCCTTGTCCCTCGCCTCATCTCTCTCGCACAACTTCGCCGTCGAAAATCTCGTTTTAACTGTATCCGCGTTGACTTCCAAAACCTTTAAACTTTCGACGTCACTTTTTTTCTTTTGGAAAATTACCGTCAATATTCATACATTACTGATACGTATGGCGTCTGATGAGTTTTCTCCGTGAATAACCTATTACAACCTGAATATACACTTTGAAACAAGGAACCTGCTGCTCCACCGGGTGGCAGGATGTTACCAAGACGGCCTCTTCCACTCGCAATTTCCGTTCATTCGATGCCTATTTAGTAAACGAACCTTCCGGCTTCCGGTGGCGCGGCAGGCAGTAGAGCAGATAACTGGTCTGGTCTGGATATATCTCTTGAGAAAACTTTTGTAATTCTTTTCGTTTTTTCGTTTTTTTTTTTTTTTTTTTTCACCTCTGCCGCGTAAAGGGAGAGTGTACACTGTACACTGTGCAATTTCTGTATATGTAACGTGCATTCAGATTTATCCTGGTAATACGAAGTAGCGGGTATACAAAACTTCTTCTGTATCAGCTGGAAGTGCATAATATCTCTCGATTCGTATATTTTCAGACGCGATCGTAAACGGATCTTTACGTTAGCTCTATCTCATAGACATTATTTCCAGCTATTCCGTTGGGCGTAACGAGATCTGTGATTTCTAGAGTCTATAACCAATTTGCGATACTTGTGAGCTATTTTCAGACTGTTGAAATTTCCTTTATTGCCGCTTACGTGTCGCACGGTGACTTCACGCGAATACGTAGACGCTGCGGATTGCGGAAATATGCGGAGCGGAAGTTTGCGTTATTACATTGCGCAATCTATATATAAATAAATTCATTGGAGCTAATTTCGTTAGTCGTTCATAGATATTAATTTTGAAAGATCTTGAAAAATTGTTTTTGATATCTAAATTTTTGACATCTTTGACAAGGGGAAATTAAGAGGGCTAATGTGATTTATTATTCTATACTTTTATTTTACAGTAATTATTTGTTTTAACTATAGGGGCAGATCTTTCTATGTTCGTAAGTCGGTCGTGCATTATTCTTTAGGGATTAAAGTTGCTCAACGTTCATTTGTTTACCTTATTGGTACGATCCTGTTGCCTTATTCGTTCGCCCGTATTCGTAACTCGCTCTTAAGGTCACTAACATAGTCACTATTAGTTAAAAGTGACTGCGTTGAGTTGTTAGTGACCGTATTCAGAATTCGCTTTTAAGCCGCTTTTAGCTAGCTGTGCGCTATCAGGGAAGCAGCGTGTTGTGCGCATGCGCTTTTAACCGCGTTCGGGATCATTCGGAAAGACTCGGATATATTCGATTATGTCCGGGAGTATTCGGTGGCATTCGGAATACGCGAACTTCATACTTGGTGGAAAATGCAGCCATATTTGAAATTCGAAATACAAGAATTTCCCTTTCCTGAAGGCAAGCTATTAATATTCAATTAGTACGTTAAAATCGTATAAATGTAGTAAGTATACAACTGGTATAACTCTTATAAGACAGGCATCACATGAAAATGACAAAAATAAATGGTTGTAGATTGCCATGGAACGAAAGGAAAATTTCACCGTCGAAGAAAAAGCATTAGTCGTACAATTTGTAAGCGACAATCGTGATACACTAGAGACTAAAGCAAATAATGCTAGATTGCAAAAGAGTAAAAGAGACAAATGAATGAAACTAACAGAGAAAATGGCAGCGACTGAAATTAAGAGGGACTGGAAAGATATAAGAGGTCCATAGCAGCGGTGGAGACTCGCAGCTAAGAGAAAAGACTATTTCTTGCTATCGCAAGCGTGCGACTGGCTGAGGTTGAGGTCGTCCTGTCCTCTCAAAACTTTCCGGGCTCGATTTGACAGTCAGTGAAATTTGCCCGGATGATTTTCTGGAGGATGAAAATCCCCAAGACTTCGATAGCCTCTGAGCATTGAGCACGGCTGAAATGTTTATGGTTGACGTCACTTACGAAACGGATCACGTGTCTCTCGAAAAACTTGCGGATTTCATACTCTCTTTTCATGAATTTCGCAGACTTCGTCCAACTCGGCAATAGCCTCCATCTCGTCCATGATATTTGAGCGACCTGTCACTTTAAACATGCCCTTCCTGCCCACGTTTCCGAATAGGTCGCTGCTAGTCCCAAGATGGCGGCTAATAGCGCACTTTTAAATGCTTGAAAACGGTTCTGAATAGGCTTTTTCCCTGATAGCGCCGCTAACAGCTGTTAGTGACCTTAAGACTGACCATAAAAGCGCTTCTGAATACAGTTACCTCTAAACTCACTAACAAATAATTTAAGGGCTTACATCTACTTCGCGGCCAAAAAAAGGGTATTTTCGTGGATTTTTTGGAGGGAATAGGGTTGCAAGTTTTCACCTTTTTTTTTCATAGTAAAGAGTGTGATTTGAAGTATGTTTCACATTTTTTTTAATAAAAAATATTCGTAAATGTAAGAGATACAATAAATTTAGCAGACCACCGTTCAAAAAACGTCCTTCGCAGTGACCACTACTGCTCGGAAACAAATCATGTGAAATCAAAAAACCAAATAGATTTTGTTTTTCTATCGTATTATCTAGTTTTTTAATCGAAGGGTTCAATAAAATAATGAAAAATAAAATATTGAAAAAATGGTCACCGATCGAAAGTGATCGTCAAATTTCGGTGACAAAAACACTACATTTTTCTTGATATATAAAAAGTACGCATAAAAAAAACCTTCGATTAAGGACTGCTTTTTGATATACAAAAAATGTATGCGAATTTTCAAGTAGATCGGTCATGTCGTTTTTGAGTTATTGTGGTTACCGATTCTGAAAAAGTAATTCCGAGAAAAACGCTTTTATACGTAGATAAAATGTCATTTATTACCTCTAAATGTAACTCCCTCAATTTTGAACGGATCAACCTGAATATTTGAGAGAATATTCTTGATCGGCTATATCATAAGAATCCGTCGAAAACGGAAAATCGATTTCTTCGAGATGTTTTAAAAGATGCCTTTAAAAGCGCGCGCGCTCTTAGTGCGCGCCTAACTAAAAGCCAGTTCTGACTACGGGCTGCTGTGTCTCATTCAAGTTTGCTACTCTACTCGTCAGCGCCCAATTAGCATTGTGCTTCCTAGTACTTTTTGCCCCGTACAATTTAGTCGTCCTTGGACGATTTCTCGATTTTTAACTTTACCAACGTAATCAGTTTTTAAACAAATTTTTTTTATATTTGGACTTTTTCATAGTAAAGTAGTAATTTATTGACGTTCTTCGCGCTAACGACTTACGAATTTATTAGTGTCAACAATATTAATGCAGCTTTTATGTCGTATAAGTTAACATTAAGGCACGGATTACATATATACACATATATTTATATCTTTTTTGGCAATTTTCAAAAGCATATAAAGAGGTCAATAATTATCGATATAAACAGAATCGCGCATGGGCGTTTTTGAATTTAGTGTTGACGTCGGTCGTCCATTACCTTATAAAGCAAGAGGCGTAAGAAAGTGATGTAAAAGAAACCAAGGACATTACACTTGGACGAGTCTGAATATTTGTTGGGTCTCTGTTTATTTAAAAAAATGTCAGACTGACGTCCGTATAGACAAGCCGCGACATCAGTTGCAGTTTTAGGGAATTTATTTACGTTCCTTTCCGTAAGGCAATGCCCTCTCAAAGTGGAACTACTGATGTTACAGTCCGACTATATTATACGCAGTGCGTACTGCGCTAACGGGTGCACATGTACTAATGATATGTTCGATAAAATATTAATCAATTATATAAAAAGAGTGCTACAAGAATGACGACGAAGCCTCCGATGAGTAAATAAAATGGGAGGCCTGGACCATTGACGTATTTTTCCGGTACCTTCGAATCATAACCAGCTACCCAGCCCTGTTTCAGTGGTACGTTCGATTTCTCCTGCTCGACCAACTCGCCGATTTCATATTTCTTCATTAGCTCCAGTGCGTCTACCGAATGTCCAATGTCGTCGAAATCCTCGGTGGCGTCGGCACCCATGTGATTCTTGAGTATCTCTTCGCCACCAGGATGTTCATTGAGAAAGCTCGTGACATTGTAAACCTTGTCGTGTACAATGAAGATCGTCTCGTTGCTATTATCTGTCTTGGCTACCTCATCGCGTGTAAATAATTTCGTCTCGGGCATTGTTTATCTGAAAATTAATATTTATAAATCATTGAACAATATGAAACAATCCAATTTGACGTGTCAATTTTTTTTAAATCGTAAATTCACATTGTCAGTTTGTATTTATAAATTTTCGTTAAGCGCCTCTGGCGGCGACACGTGGAAGCTTGGTGGCGCCCTAGTGCTCCCGACGATAACATGTTTCTCTATCTTTCGCGTTAGTATAAAAAAGATTATTTGCTATGATAATTGTAAGATCTCACAGCGGCGGCATAATGTATTATCTAATTAACCGAGTAATAAAATAATTCCGACGCAAGATGACTTGCATTATAAAAGACGAGTGTGGCGATTAGATTAAGAAACGGTGCTTTCTCTTAAACGTTGCGTGAGATAAGGGAACAGGACATTTTGACCTCTGTCCTTGGCTTTTTCAATTCTTTAAAAAGCTAAATACTGCTCTATCTTTCACTTTGGCTTACTCGCATTCAAATTCGCATTTCGTAACGAACATTTGGTAACCGTGCGGTTCCCGCTATTCAATACCAAAATCGAGAATGGCGATAGACTGTTCTCTTTATTTATTTGCTACACTCTCTTCACTGATAGTGTCTCTCGTTATCAGCACTTTGAAAACGCTCTCAGAGTTAAAACCACAGCTGGATCCCCAATGACAGTAAATTTCATAGCAAATTCAAATTATCATCTAAAGAATGGATATAAAAACGTTCTTTCCTTGATTTATAAGCATGTATATTTCACTACGATAGTCACGTGGATGTTCTTAATAATAATTCAACACCCGTTGCACGTGGTTAGCTGCGCACTCTAGTGCAATTGCGTAATAATAATATTACAAGCGTAATGTCGCATCAGTCGAGACACACGAACGCATCGTGTCTCTTGTTAGTGCAAGAGTACATTCTCGTCATGCCACTACGTGTTTGAAAAATGTCAACAGATCAGGCAGTTACAAGAGAACACTTACGAGCAGATAGATAAAGAAAGAGGTAGTGGCTAAAAAAATGTAAAAAGTTCTATTTGCCAAACGAACCAGATAACGACTGACTGGTTGCTGACTCATTCAAAAAATCCCGCCTTCTTACCTTTTATTTAAATGATGGGGGGGGGG